CCTTGCCACCCCCCCGTGCCCCAGTGCTGGGGGGGGGGGGGGGGAGGTGAGGGCAAAGGGCCCCCTCCTCTGAGACATGTAACTGGTGCCCTGTTTTCCATCCCCCTAGAGAATGAAACTGCTTGAGAAGGAAAGACTGCAGGTGGCTGCCAACCAGGTGGGACATCCCTGCCCCCCAGCTGCTCCGGGCAGTGCAGAGCAGAGCTGCCCTGCAGGCTGGGTCTTGCTTGGGGCCCTGCTCTCAAGGGGCACCCCACAACCAGAACCAGCCCCTGTGCTGTGTCTCAGGCCGGGCAGCTCTGCTACGGACACTGCCTCCAGCAGCTTGGGGTCCACTTCCCTGTGCACCCAGCTTCCAGGAGCTTTAGCTGGTGGCAGCTGCTTGGCATGTGCTGCTCAGGCCCTGCTCTCCTGGGGAAGCTGCAAGCAGTGCGTACACATCTCACCCTGAGCCTCAGCTGTGGTGTGGTGCGGTGTCCTGACCACGGCTGCTCCCTGCCCCCTTACCTCCAGCCCACTGCTTCTCACCCGTGTGCCAGCTCTCAGGTGTCTGTCTGTCTCGTGGCTGTCTCAGGCTGCCTCCCCATCACCCTGGCTGTTGTGTTGGTTCCAGCCACAGTCCTTTCTAGCTGTCCAAGCTCTGCATCAGCGAGGGCGCAGCAGTCCCCCTGTCTGGCTTCAAGCTGTAAAGCAGCTTGGGTGATCCCGTCCCCCTCTGGTCCTTTTTCAGACATACTACCAGACCCCGCCACCCACCTTCTCCTTCCGCCAGCGAGCTTTCCACAAGAGCGTGGTCTACCTCTGGGTCCTGTGCAGGTAACGGGGCCCAGGGGCTGGGAGCGAGGGTGCTGGGGGAAGTAGTGTGCAGCCCCCTGACCTGTGACATTGCTCACTCTCTACCTCCCTGGGGCTGGGCTGGCTTGCTCTAGCACAGACGTCCCAGCCCTGCCAGCTCTTGGGCCACAGAGGAGAGATTTTGGCTCTCTGTCATGGGGGATTAAACCAGCCCACCCACCTATGCAGCTGTGGGTGCAGGGAGGTAGCCTCAGCCCCCCACAGCTGTGGCGCCAGGGAAGGAAGGCCTGTGTGCAGCCTGCTGTCCATTGCTGTCCCCAGCTCGGTTGCATTGGCCCTGGGTGCCCTCACATTGTGGCACGCTGCCCTCATTACCCGTGGGGAAACCAGCATCGAGCGGCACATCAACAAGAAGGAGAGGCAGAGACTGCAGAAGAAAGGCAAGGTGAGCGCAGCCCGCGGAGCAGGAGGGCCGGCCAGGGCAGAGCCAGATGTGATGTGCGTCTCCCCGGCCTGCAGGTCTTCAGGAACCCCTACAGTTACGGTGGCTGGGATAACTGGAAGGTGTTCCTGGGCGTGGACGTGCCAAGGTAAAGCCCCGGGGAAGCCCCTGCCCAGAAAGGTGGTGGCTCAGCAGCGCGTGGGGGTGCTGGGACACTGGGGCTCTCCTTGGGTGGCTGGGGCAGAGCAGGATGGCGAGCGTCCCGTGCTCTGCGCTGCTTCGGGCTTTGCAAGGCATGGAGGACCCAGGCATCAGCTGCCTTGTGGCTCCTCAGCCCTGCCCAGTGGCAAGCTCTGGCCTACCTGGCAGCCCTTTGCCAAGAGAGCCCTGGCTGAGGAGCTCAGCCATTGTGGCAGCTCAGGGACATGGGCTCACAGCCCTGGCTCAGCTCTGCAGAGCTGAGAAGAGCGAGACTTCAGCTTTTTGCTGCGCCCTCTCTCCTCTCCCCACAGGCACTGGCTCACCCGCGTCCTGCTGCCCTCTCCTCACCTGCCCCACGGGACGGGCCTGAGCTGGGACCTGCCTCCCTGCGTGACTGAGCAGCGCACGCCGCTCCTGGCCATCTGAGGCCCGGGTGCTGCAGACGTCCCTCCTCGCAGGCAGGGGAGCGCACCGGGGACCCGCTCCGTCACCGCGGCTCACTTTGGCCCGAGCGCCTGGCAGAAGGTGGGTGCTGGTACGCACCCCTGACTGGAGCCAGAGCCATGGGAAACCGTTTGGACAGTGCCGGTGCCTGGACGCCCGCTCTCTCGGCTCCTTGGGGGCTGCAGGCAGCCCCGGGGGAAAGGCGGCAGAGCTGCCGCTCCCCGCTCTAGCTGAAGGTGCTGCCCTTGCTAGCACAGGTACAGGCCAGCACGTGGCCCAGCTCGGCTCTCCAGCAGGGCTGGGCGCAGAGGCTGGCACCCCTGCCCCCCAAGCACTCCCTAGGGAGCCTTTTTAAGACCATCCAATAAAGTTTTTTTTTTAAGGGAGCCTGGCTCATTTCCCCGGTGGGGGGCGCAGACTTCTGGGGGCAGGGGAGGAGAGGGACACCCCTGATTCCCCAATGTGGAAAGGAGTAAAGGCCTGCAACCAGCAGCACCTTTAGCTACTCAACATATGGAAGGGCAATGGAGTCCCAGCCTGGGCTGCACAGAGACTCCGTGCAGCGTTACCAAAACAGATATATTTATTCCTCTGGGGCGTGGGTTGCCACACACTGAATGCGTGTGCACAGGCCTGCCCTCTCCACTCATACGTGGCGAGTCTGTCCGTCACTGTCCTGGGGAGCCTTTTTAAGCCCATCCAATAAAGTTTTTTTTTTAAGGGAGCCTGGCTCATTTCCCCGGTGGGGGGCGCAGACTTCTGGGGGCAGGGGAGGAGAGGGACACCCCTGATTCCCCAATGTGGAAAGGAGTAAAGGCCTGCAACCAGCAGCACCTTTAGCTACTCAACATATGGAAGGGCAATGGAGTCCCAGCCTGGGCTGCACAGAGACTCCGTGCAGCGTTACCAAAACAGATATATTTATTCCTCTGGGGCGTGGGTTGCCACACACTGAATGCGTGTGCACAGGCCTGCCCTCTCCACTCATACGTGGCGAGTCTGTCCGTCACTGTCCCTGGCTGCAGCAGAGGCTGGGGAAGCCACGCGCGGGACAGAACCCCCCCC